CCCAAAATTCCCATTTTTCCACCCAAAATTCCAATTTTTCCTTCAAAAAAATCCATTTTTCCCTCTAAAAATCTCATTTTTCCCTCTAAAAATCTCATTTTTTCGCCTAAAAACTCCATTTTTTTGCCTAAAAATCCCATTTTTTTTCCCCAAATTCCCATTTTTTTTCCCCCAAATCCCATTTTTTCCCAAAATTTCGGTTTTTCTCCCCAAATCTCACCGTGCCCGTGGCCGTGGCCGTGTCCCCCGCAGTGCCTGACCCCCATTTCCCACCCCCAAAAATCTCCATTTTTTACCCCAAAAATCCCATTTTTTCCCCTAAAATCCCATTTTTCCACCTAAAACTCCATTTTTTCCCAAAATTCCCATTTTTCCACCCAAAATTCCAATTTTTCCTTCAAAAAAATCCATTTTTCCCTCTAAAAAATCTCATTTTTCCCTCTAAAAATCTCATTTTTTCACCTAAAAGCTCCATTTTTTCATCTAAAAATCCCGTTTTTTTTCCCCAAATTTTCATTTTTTCACCCAAAATTCTCATTTTTTTCCCAAAATTCCCATTTTTCCCTCAAAAAATCTCAATTTTTCCCTCTAAAAATTCCATTTTTTCACCCAAAAATCCCATTTTTTTCCCTAAAATCCCATTTTTCCACCTAAAACTCCATTTTTTTCCCAAAATTCTCATTTTTCCACCCAAAATTCCAATTTTTCCTTCAAAAAAATCCAATTTTTCCCTCTAAAAAAATCCCATTTTTCCCTCTAAAAAATCTCATTTTTCCCTCTAAAAATCTCATTTTTTCGCCTAAAAACTCCATTTTTTCGCCTAAAATTCCCATTTTTTTTCCCCAAATCCCATTTTTTCCCAAAATTTCAGTTTTTCTCCCCAAACCTGACCGTGGCCGTGGCCGTGGCCGTGTCCCCCGCAGTGCCTGACCCCCATTTCCCACTCCCAAAAATCCCATTTTTTTCCCTAAAAACTCCATTTTTTTCCCCAAAATTCCCATTTTTTCCACCTAAAACTCCATTTTTTCCCAAAATTCTCATTTTTTACCCCAAAATTCCAATTTTTCCTTCAAAAAAATCCATTTCTCCCTCTAAAAAATCTCATTTTTTCGCCTAAAAATCTCATTTTTTCACCTAAAAACTCCATTTTTTCGCCTAAAATTCCCATTTTTTTTTCCCCAAATCCCATTTTTTCCCAAAATTTCAGTTTTTCCCCCCAAACCTGACCGTGCCCGTGTCCGTGTCCCCCGCAGTGCCTGACCCCCAGCTCCACGGCCAGGAACGTCACAATCCCGGCCAGGACCCACAGACCCACGGACACCGAGGAGCCTGAGATGGGGAAAATGGGAATAAAAATATTGGGAATAAATTGGGATAAATGGGGAAAATGGGAATAAATGGGGAAAAATGGGAATAAATGGGAATAAATGGGGAATAAATGGGCGAATATTGGGAATAATGGGGGAATATTGGGAATAAATTGGGATAAAATGGGGAAATACTGGGATAAAATGGGAATAAATGGGGGAATATTGGGGAAAAAATGGGGGAAAATGGGAATAAATGGGGAAAAATGGGGGAATATTGGGATAAAATGGGAATAAATGGGGGAATATTGGGAATAAATGGGGAATAAATGGGGATTAATGGCATAAAATGGGAATAAATGGGGAAAAATTGGGATAAAATGGGAATAAATGGGGGAATATTGGGGAAAAAGTGGGGGAAAATGGGAATAAATGGGGGAAAATTGGGATAAAATGGGAATAAATGGGGAAAAATTGGGATAAAATGGGAATAAATGGGAGAATATTGGGAATAAATGGGGAATAAATGGGAATAAATGGGGAAAAATTGGGATAAAATGGGAAAAAATGGGAATAAATGGGAATAAAATGGGGAAATATTGGGAATAATGGGGGAATATTGGGGAAATATTGGAGGAAAATGGGGGAATATTGGGATAAAATGGGATAAAATGGGAATAAATGGGGATAAAATGGGGATATTGGGGAATAAATGGGAATAAATGGGAGAATATTGGGAATAAATGGGGAATAATGGGGATAAATGGGG